TCAGATCTGGGATGGTTCTGGACATGTTCCGCAATTCACTTAACTGTGAGAATTCATAGGATGAATAAGTAAAGAATATTCTCTTCAGGATTGTTTTACTGATTTCAAATGTAGTCCAAATAAGTTTGAAAAAGTAATTGCTATTTAATGAGCAGTAGTTTAGCTGTTTTTTATGGTCAGTGTTAGTTTATTTTGTCTCATGCATAATTTATTCTCTTGTTTTGGTCAGAAAGTTATCTTTTTTTTCTTCTCCAACCCCCCACCCTCCCCAGCCCTGAGCATTGGAAAAATTGCAGAATTCCTTAAATCTTTATTTTGATAGTTCCCCCCAGGTAGCTGGAGTTCCTAGATTCAGATTTGGACCCCCTGAAGATATGCCACAAACTAGTTCAAGTCACTCTGATCTTGGTCAGCTTGCATCCCAAGGAGGTAAACTTCTGCACTTTCTTTTCCATGGTGTTTCGAGTGAAAAACAAATAATGCAGTCAGTAAAATGCAGTTCTACTTAGGGTACTCATTAAAGTGTGGAAACCTGTGACTCTTAAGGTGGGAAAAACAGGCTTGTGAACCAGAGAAGCTGACATTTTCTGTAGGACAAATTGCCTGCCAAACACAAGAAACTTCATTTAAGGATAAATGAAATGTTGAAGGAATGGCGTTTAACTTTAATTTTACTGTTAATTGTAGCTTTCCTGTAGTAAAATAAGAGGGGGAAACGTGAAATGCAAAGAAAACTTTGGGATATCTCCTTACCTGCTAAGAGTTGGCCAGGCAATTTGCCTAATGTTGTCTTTGTTGTCCTGAATCATTCCCATTCCCCTGCATCCCTGTCACCATGGAACAGTATGCTATTCTTTGAAGAAAGCTTACAGCAAAGTAATAGCGTAAGGAAAGGATGAAAGTAAAACAAGCAGTAATATTTTCATCAAGGTTTTACCTTTCAGTAAATTATAATTAACTCTGGCAGTACATCAAAACAACTTAAAACAATAAAAAGCGCAATATTTAAGTACAAATCACTGGATTTCATCAAGTGTACAGAGAGAAGACAGCAGTTAATCTGGTTTTTAGCTGGCTATTTTAATTGTCGCTAAAACTTTCTGTGTTGCAGGTTTAGGAATGTATGAAACTCCACTATTTCTTGCTCATGAGGAAGAATCAGGTGGTCGTAGTGTTCCAACAACACCATTACAAGTAGCAGCACCAGGTAAGTGGCAAGAAATTTGTAGGCTAAAGTAAGATCTTGGAAACCTTGACTTTCCAGAAAAGAATTTGATTATTATTGTTATAGTGCTTATTGCCACATCAGAAGTATTCCAGTAACCCTTTCCCCGATGTGCCAATGATTTCCATAAATTTTCTGTAGGAAATTCAAACTAACTCCGTGTTTATTAAACTGCATTTCCTGTACAGTGACAGTTTTTACTGAAAGTGCATCAGCTGACGCTTCAGAGCATGCTTCTCAGTCAGTTCCCATGGTTACAACATCTACTGGCAATCTGTCTACCACTACAGAGGCTGGAGCTGGTGATGATGGGGATGAAGTTTTTGCAGAGGCAGAATCTGAAGGGTAAACTGTGATTTGTTTGGTTCACTAGAACTTGATTTCATGTTAGTTTTGATGACTTGTTTTCATCCAAGTGTGCCTGTGATTCATTTTCAATCTAACCTGTTCTGGTAGAAAGGACAGCTCAAACAGCATTTAGTAATTTTGTGAAGATTTTCTTCTGATTTTCTCCTTCTCATTTAACATAGGTAATACAAAAGTCACACAAAAAAAAAAGATTTCTGTATTTTTTCAGAATGCAAAGGGTTCTGTACTAGTCAAATACTGATGGTAAAGGCCCCAGTGGGTTTTGGAGAATAAAGGCTAAAGCTTTCCTGTTTGCTAATAGAGAAAATCACTCCTTGTTACAAAGCAAGCATATACAACGAAGTCATTCAGTTAAGGCAGTGCAAGTACGAAAGATGTAGCACAAGGGAGGGGAATAAGCAGTTCTTTAGAATTTGTTAGACCAATGATTTTGTCTTCCACTTTGCAAGTGCAATTTTTAATATTTATAATAATTGCTTTATTTTTTTATTATGACCAAATATATTACAAATCTAAAAGGGGATAGATAATCGTTTTATGCTATCTTTTACCTTATTATTGGTTCTATAATAAGAATAGATGCATAGTTCACAATTTACCTGAACTTTTATCTACTGATTGCCGGGATAGGAGGTTTGGTCGTAAGAAAATTAAATGTTACTGCTGCAAGTTAAATATGCCACATGTTTTTCTTGATGCAGCACCAACTTGGACTGCAACAGTCTATGAGTAGATAGAGCATAGGATGGGTATTCTAATGTTAAGGTCTCAAATTTGTTTGTTACAAAACCATCTAACCTTTAGAAGTATATCCATAGAGGAACCAAATGGTTCACAGAACAATCTGTAGTTTGGAACAGGCTTTTAGCCTGATAGCAGAGCGAGTCAGTCTGTTGCTAGTAGAGAACAGATGGTTCCCACAATTTATGAGTTTTAGTTACCATCTCCTAGCAGTTTTTATATACTAATCGAAGTAAATAAAATGTACACCAAAAAGAGAGCTGCATTTAAACTACATTGAATGTTTAATATTTTTCCAGCCCTATAATGCTTTTTGGTTTCTGTCTTTTGAAGACAGAGCCCAAATGACTTTGTTGTTGCACCAATGAGTGATCTTTAGGCATAACCAGTCAGTGGTGGTCCCTCCACTTAATTCTTCTGCTGCCTAAGCGTACACACCACCATCATGTTAAGTTTTTTAGTTATTGTTATCAAATAGTTTCTATGACCTGTGAAAGACAGTATGTTGGATATGCATCTGGAGTTGGGCTGCATATCAAGGAAATTACATTGTTATTTTTCTAAAAGGCAGATAAATCTCTCATGATTGGGGCAGCGGGGACACAACAAAACAGAGTAAAACCTGTGCAAATTTCCAGGTAGACATTTGCATACGAATCTTTCCACTCCAAGATAATGCTTCTTTTTCTGAGCTTTTTTACCTTATGGGAATACACTTATATGTTTTTCCTCCCCCTCCTGCTCTTTTAGAATTACTTCAGAAGCAGGCCTAGAGATTGATAGCCAGCAAGAAGAAGAATCTGTTCAAGCATCTGATGAGTCAGATCTTCCTTCTACTAGTCAAGATCCTCCTTCTAGTTCATCTGCAGGTATGGGTTAATTGATAGAACTCTTTGAGCAAGGTCATATTTTTTTTTGCAATTAAGACTATAGACATCAATTTTTACTTGTACCACAGTAACCATAGGCCATAGTGAGAATAATGCTTCAAGGAGCAACAGTTACTGATACTTTGGTGATTCTATCCACTGTTATGTTTGATGTCAGATTTAAAAATGTCTTCTCATTCAATTAAATTGTCAAAGAACAGTAAGTAAGTCACTGTTGAGTTACCAATTTACAAGCTAGCACAAGTGATGAAAGAAGTCCCAAACTTGTTGTGATGCTTTTATTTGTATCAGAGATGTCAATGAAATAAGGATGCACCTTCATAATTTTGAAGTAAATTCAAGAGCAAAATGCATATCAAATCATGTAAACATTAACACTGAGAAACTGTACTAGACACAGAGATTCTTTCCTGCATTTCCACTCCTTCACAGACACAAGCAGTAATCAGCCTAAGCCATTTCGACGTGTCAGACTTCAGCCACCGACACTAAGAACTGGTGTTCGTGGTCGTCAGTTCAACAGACAAAGGGGTAAGTGTTTGTGGTTGCTTAAATTGAGACTCTTTAAAAAATGTTTTTAGTACTTTCTCCCCATGGGGACCATATATGAAGTACTGCTTTAAGCATGTGATTGCTTGTATGACATTAAATAATACAGCATCCCTGCCCTATCTTTCAATATGTTACCCTAAGAGCTCTGTAGTTTTGTTTTAGTACATTAGTTTGAGCATTTTTTAGATAGGCAAACTTTCTTCTTATGTGGCACTTGGTTCTTACCAGTGGGGAGAGAGCAGATCCTCAACTAAGCAAAGTTTTAAAAGAGGATTTGAAAAATAATGTTAGGACATAAGTTTAGAAATCTTTGGTTTTAACATCACATATCAGTTTCCCATTTGGTATGTAGGGATTCCAGTTATTATCTCACTATGTCTTAGACTGATTTTAAAAAAAAAAACAAAAACCAACAAAAAAGGTTTATGGAAGTATTGCAGGTTTTTGTAATGCAATAGAGAGGTAAACCATGACAATAAATTATTCTTTACAACTTTGATATTAAGAAAAGTCTGTAGATGAATTGTATTGTTGGCATTATTTTAACATTGTAGAAGACTTGATACAAACATTGAAGTTACAGGTATCTGGTATTTTAAAGGACAAAAAAAAAAAAACCCAAAAAAAAAACAAAAAGGGAGGAGGTGTACCTAGGATAGAATTTCTTTTGAGTCTTTCACCATTTCTTTAATAACAAAAGAGAGGGACTAACTGATTCAAATATAGTAAGAATGCTATACTTGTTCTTTTGGCATAGGGTCTGAGATAGTCATCAATCTTTTTTTAAATGACAGAAGTATAATGTATCTGTATTGCCAGCCTCTAGGGGAGGGAGGGGAGCTTGAGTTTTATCAAAAAGGAAGTGCTCCACTGCAGTAGCAATTCCTTACAGAAGGATGAAGTATCACATGTACCAATGGTTAATTAAAAGGATGTCTATTCATGCATTTGTTTTCTTTCCCAACACAGGTGTAACTCATGCAATGGGAGGCAGAGGAGGCCTGAACAGAGGAAATATTAGTTAAATGATCTGTAAAGTAATTACAGCTGTGTATACAAAAGTGCCAGGTTGCCTGTGGTTGCTTTAGTGTAATGAAGCCAGAGCTTAAAGCAGCATTTTATACTTAGATTTGTGTGCACACATTTCAATGTCCTTATTAATAAAATTAGACAAAATGTCAACATTCAAATGGCATCTTTTTTTAAAAATCCACTGCTGTGCATCACTTGCTAGGACAGTTGTACCAGTCTTTGGATACAGTCTTTCCTGTGAGAGCAGTAACAGGTCTTGCTATTCTTTTGCCAACATCCAAACTGTAGTACCGATCTGAAATGAAAATACGTCAGAATTAAAATCCAAAAACTACATTTAGTACATGGAAAGAATCTTGAAGTTAAAGCCTCCTTTTAATTTCATTTAGGCACAAATAACAGATTTTTCATTCCTATACATGGAGTTGAGAGTCCTCAACTTTCTTTTACGTGTCCTTCTTTTGGAGCTAAGTTTTACAGTACTGCTAAGAATTAATACTGTCCCAAGAACAGGGAGTAGGGAAGAATACTTCTATACTGCTGGAACACAGACATAGTTTTAAGAATTTAGAAATGAAACAAAACAATCCTGCACTGATTACGAAAGTGGGAACTCTGGTCCCCAAGTGTGAATTGGCCTATGTTAAGGTTAGGAATTAGGTCACACTGGCAGAGACTTACTTTAGTATCCTGTATTTGGATACGGATAGTTCTTAAAGAGTCGTTTTTCCTGAATAATCCAGAAAATTCTGAGGAATGCTTTTGCATGATCCTGGCTAGAGGTTTTTTTTTTTTATCAGAAACAGTTCTATGGAAGCCGTGAAAAAACTATCAATGTGCAGAGGTCCAAGGATTTCAGCCTATCATTAATGTAATTCTGTATTTCAGTGTCAGGTTTTTTGTCACTTTATAAGCCTGAACTCCTATGGCAATGTATTCCACAACTGGCTAGCTTGAAACAGTGTACCTCATTGCTGCTAGTTGTCCTGTAACTCTTGATTTCTTTAACAGAAACATCTCTCGATTGCAGGCAACATTTTAATTCTCAGGACTTTTTAGTAGTGCTTAAAATTAGTCTTGCAGAATCCCAAGTGGTAACCTTATGCTTTGGAAAGCTCTGAGATACATGGGCTTCTTTCTTTCCCCATCCCTTAGCCTTTTGAGATATATAGTAACTTGCATTAGCTTTGACTTACTGTAAGAGAAGGCATAATAGTCATAGCCATCTGGCTTATTGTGGTTGGGTAGTGATATAGTTGAATGAATTACTTTCGGGAGCCCTCTCCAGTAGGTAGTCATTTTGATTTCCTTACGCAAAACTCCTGCAAGCAAAAGAAAATTTAAGTTAGGAGGTGTCACAGTGTGTTTGCTGTAAGCTATCATTTCCTTTCCTTACAGCAAGCAAGATCTCTTGGATTAAAAAATTTTAAAAGTACTGTATTTAAAAAAAATGGAACAGAATGTTGTGTTTCAGAAACTACTAAAATTAAAACAGTTGTATAAAAGAAACTTAATAAACATAAGTTACCAGATGGATATGGGCTGATTCTGACGTTCTGAATAACGGTTGGCATTCTCACTGCACGTTGAAAGCGTCTCCTTATTACAAGTCTTGGGACATAAGCTGGGTATTTTATGGTAACCTGGGTTCTTCTTTGACATTTCTTAGCTGGTTCTTGTCTGTACACATACTGTTGCATGTTGCCATCTAAAAGAGACATTTGTTTCATTTGGTTAAAACACAAAAAAACCCAACAACAACAAAAACCCAAACAACCAGATATGAAAATGTCATTAATATCTGTATTACACGCAGGAAATCAAGAGCATCATTTTAATACATCTACAGTTGTGGCAGCCTTCAGCTTTTTATATCCGTTCCTACATTTTGAGATTAAAAAAAAAAAAAAAGCCTTGCTCTCTAAATACGACATGTGCTTCTAGATGTAGTGAGCACACCTCCTGCAATATCATTACAGCTATTGTAGCAACTACAATTCCAGGGGAACTGCTTTTGCTGCCATTATTCCTATTTATAAAGGAGAGGGTAAGACTATCATTTTAGGCTGCATGAGAAGAGGGCTAGAGTCCAGAAAATGCATTTCGTTAACCTCTGTTTTTTAAATTCAGACAACAATTCTTATATTGGCAGTACATCATTCATATAAGATAAGGAAATTGCATTAATTTAAAATACAAAGTAAGAAATAGGGAGAGAGATTTCTATACATAGTTATATACTAGTAAGATTAAAGTCTTCCCTCCTCTAATTAACTTGAGACTAAAATAGTTTTACCACCAGATAAATTTTATTTTAATCCGCTACGGTGCTAGATTCTGTCCCTTACAGTCCTTTTCATTTTCAAATGCACTTAAAGATCTGTAAGTACTAATACAAAGGTTTTAAGGTTCAGGTTAGTTTTTTGACCACCTAGTGCACTCTGACATCGTATGTTTCTGTTTTTGAAAGAAATATGTCTCCAGTCAAGAGAAACTGTTTTATTGCTAACTAAGGCAAGTGCCTTTTGATTACCTGTGAACTTCTGAGATGTGAGACATACCTTTTTTGATAAAATAAACAGATTCTGGTCTGTTGTTGTATCTTGCCACGGGGAGGGTTGCTACTATTTTTCCGCTTAACCCTGCAAATCCATTCGCAAGAGGTTTGGGATAGCCTTTATCCATAACACCATTAGTGAAACGCCAGTACAGGGGACCCTAGTGATTTAAGGAAGAGATAAGCGTTAGAGGAAGTTCATTCTTGATAATTCAGCTTCAATGCAGACCTGAAAAATAACACTAGCGTTTTGATAACGACATGATAAAACTGACTGGAAGCACTCTTCCTACATCCATTAAAACCAGGAAAACAATATTAAAACTTCATCAAATTCTTCAGTCTTCTAGCACTGCCTTTGAATATTGATAGATTATCTTAGAAATGAACTGTAAGAGTGGTTACTGAACAAGACCTTGCTAAATCTCTACATTTTCATAGGTAGAAAAAGCTACTTGAACTCCAGGACTGAATGATTAATTGGGAAATAACTGTATAATGTCTTTAATGAAGCGTTTGCAGTTCACTATCATCGTCTTCCAGGAATGGAAATGCGTTAAGAACAATTTGGGGCCATGTTTCATGCTAAAATAGTCAGGGGTTTTTTTGAAGTGTGGCTTATGTAAATACTACCTTGTCAATGTTTTGTCTCCTAGCTAATTACAGGGGGAAAAAACACTGAACTGAGGTTTTTCCTGAGAAGCAGTTTCAAACCCACCATGCTGGTTTTTTTTCTATAAAATGAGCAACACAGCAAGGCTCCCTCTCTGTAAGTGACGCCGAGAGGCTGCGTTCCAAACCCTGTACCTTTTTTTAAGCTGACCTGCCTCACACACCCTCCCCCCTCCCTGCCACGCTCACTGCCCGGAGGGAGGGCTCCCCACCTTGATGAAGAAGGTCTTGCCATCGCAGTTGCACCGGGAGAAGACGGCATCAATTGGGGACGGGATGCCCCAGCCATCGCTGATGCGGCGGGGGCTGGTCGTTGGCGGGCTCCTGCCATTCAGCAGCCAGTAGTAGTGACCTGCACAGCGGGAAGGAGACACGGTGAAACATGTGTGGACCGACGGATGGACAGAGGCTCGGCCGTCGCTGGGTGGGGCCCCCAGAGCGCTGAAGCGGCTGCGGGGGTATGAGGTGGGCCAGGCCAGGTCGGGGTGGGGGAGGAGGGGGAGAGCTGGGGCCAGCCTACCTCGGAAGACGGCCAGGGTGCCGTTCTGCAGGGCCACCATGCCATCCGCCGGCTTCCCGCTGCACAGGTCCTTCTCGGCTGCAAAACACGGGTGGTTCAGGTTTGACATTCCCCAGAAAGCATGTTCCCTCCCCTGCCTGCCCCCAACAGCACTGCGGCTGGTTAATGTGGTCGCTTGTGCTGGGCGATGCTCGGGGCACTCCTTTGGGCCTTTCTGCCTGGCAGTTGTCATGCAAAGGGTTTAATCACTCATTTGAGAGAGATTCTTCGAAATTTGGCTTTCAAGAGTGCAAGACCAGCAGTTTACCTGAGTAGGTAGAGATATCGCCACTTGTTGCTTACCTGAGTACCTGTAATTCAGAACAAGACCTGTCAATGCATCGTATGCCATGTTCCTCATTTAATTTCTTCATGCTCCAGGATGTTTACTTGATGTTTCTCCAAGCTGCTCTAGTGGGTTCCCCTCCCCCTCCTTATTTCTTAAAAAAAGCATTTACATTTATTTTTATATAAGTATAAAGAAAGGATGAATCTGCTTTAGATAAAACCCCATGTATTTTCTACCTAAAAAACTTTTTTTTTTCCCAAAACATATGCCAATATATGACGAAAAAATTGCCCAAGAACCTAGGGGCTATATTGGAATAAAATAAACTGTGAGGACACAAAAAATGTTGTGGCAGATAGCACAGAGGAAAGAGAATACAAGAAAAAGACCTCTTATCTGTCTTAGGTGTCATTTTTTGTATGTGACCACAAAATGACAGGTTAGGTACCATGAGTAATGGTGGATATTCAGCCCAACTCCCTAGCAATGTTTTCATGGGACTTAGAAATGTGTCTTCTTTGTGTTTGCATCTTCCACAGAGCTTAACAGCAAACGTTTTTCAGCTGAACAAATTACTGAAACAGGATCACACTCTAAACTACCTGGAGAATTTCTATAACAACACAATTGAAAACTGAGGTACCAGTATTCAGGTCATAATTGACCACCCAGACAAGAGTGCCATGTTCTTCTGGCACCAGATAGAAAGGTCTTGCACGTCCTTTATTCACGTGTTCTGTTGTGCCCTGTGGTTGAGTTACTGGTGCTTTTGTACCTACTGGAATGCAATTACCTTGTGGTTCTCCAGTTAAAATTGGCAATTCTGCAGTTTGTATTAAAGGCTTGTTGATTATCTCGGGCTTTTCTTTTACTGGTAGAGTTTCAGGGTCAGATGGACGAGGCTCATCTCTTGTGTCAGTAACCTCCTGGAAATGTATAGTTGGCTTGGATGTCCCTTTAGAAACAATAAACATTTCTTCTATCGTGTCTTTTTTAGGTCTTGTAGTGACCTCTCTCGTAACTGTAGTTTCCTCTCCCTTGTCAGTATTAGAGGCCTGCTCAGTGGCATCTTCCATTTCTTTTTCAGCTATGATACTAGTTTCTTTGACGGTTGTTACCTCTTTTTCACCAGCTGTTATTGTCTCTACAACACCACACGTAGTACTTGTGCTCTCTTTAGCTGCTGCTGTTACAGTCTGCTTAGTTTCCATAGTTTTGTCTCTTTTAGTTGTTGTCACGATCTCCCTGGGTTTAGGAGTTGAATCTATTTCGGCAGTTGCTGTCAACACAGTGGGCTTGGGCATGGGAGTTGTAGCTGCTGCAGCTGCTGTTGTTACAGTTGCTGTTCCCACAGGGCTTTCTTCTTTTTTGGCTGTTAAAGTCTCTTTTGGTATGGGAGATTTGTCTTGTTTAGCTGGGGTTACTTCTTCTTCAGCTGTTGTTGAAGTCTTTTTGTCTGCAGTAGTTGCTTCTGATTCAGCTGCTGTAGTGACAGCTTGCTTGGCTGTAGGAGTTGTATTTGGAATATCGTCCTTACCACAGTCATCTGGTTTAGCTGTTATCACTGTAGTTACAGTACTTGTGTCTTTCCTACTTATTAAAATGTCTTTAAGCACAGTAGTTTTGTCTATCTTGGGTGTTGTTATCTCTTTGTTCACCATGGTTGTCTCTATTTCAGTTGTCGTCTCTTCTGTTATAGGAACAGCAACAGTTTTAGCTGTTTTATCTACTTTGTCAGTTGTTGTTACAATCCCAGTAGTACTAGCTGCAGTTGCCACTGTCCTTTGTACTGCTGTAGTCGTGTCTTTTGCAGTTGTGCTGGTTGCTACACTGGGTGTGGGAGTTGTAATTTTCTTTTCTGATGTTATTTCTGAAACTGTTGTGTCTGCTTCAAGAATGGCAGTTTCCTTTCTAGTTGTTGTGAGTGCCTCAGTGCTTTGAGTGGTTGTGTCTTCTTCAGCAGTCGTTACTAATCCAGGGACAGTAGTAGATCCTACCTTGGTAGTAGGTGCCTCTGAGGTTGTCTCTTCAGCTTTGGGGGTAATGGGAGAGTCAGCCTTGGTCGTTGGTGCCTCTGTGGCCTCTGGGGTTGTTTCTCCAGGTTTGGGAGTAGTGGGAGCGTCAGCCTCAGTCATAGGTGCCTCTGTGGCCTCTGGGGTTGTTTCTCCAGGTTTGGGAGTAGTGGGAGCGTCAGCCTCAGTCATAGGTGCCTCTGTGGCCTCTGGGGTTGTTTCTCCAGGTTTGGGAGTAGTGGGAGCGTCAGCCTCAGTCATAGGTGCCTCTGTGGCCTCTGGGGTTGTTTCTCCAGGTTTGGGAGTAGTGGGAGCGTCAGCCTCAGTCATAGGTGCCTCTGTGGCCTCTGGGGTTGTTTCTCCAGGTTTGGGAGTAGTGGGAGCGTCAGCCTCAGTCATAGGTGCCTCTGTGGCCTCTGGGGTTGTTTCTCCAGGTTTGGGAGTAGTGGGAGCGTCAGCCTCAGTCATAGGTGCCTCTGTGGCCTCTGGGGTTGTTTCTCCAGGTTTGGGAGTAGTGGGAGCGTCAGCCTCAGTCATAGGTGCCTCTGTGGCCTCTGGGGTTGTTTCTCCAGGTTTGGGAGTAGTGGGAGCGTCAGCCTCAGTCATAGGTGCCTCTGTGGCCTCTGGGGTTGTTTCTCCAGGTTTGGGAGTAGTGGGAGCGTCAGCCTCAGTCATAGGTGCCTCTGTGGCCTCTGGGGTTGTTTCTCCAGGTTTGGGAGTAGTGGGAGCGTCAGCCTCAGTCATAGGTGCCTCTGTGGCCTCTGGGGTTGTTTCTCCAGGTTTGGGAGTAGTGGGAGCGTCAGCCTCAGTCATAGGTGCCTCTGTGGCCTCTGGGGTTGTTTCTCCAGGTTTGGGAGTAGTGGGAGCGTCAGCCTCAGTCATAGGTGCCTCTGTGGCCTCTGGGGTTGTTTCTCCAGGTTTGGGAGTAGTGGGAGCGTCAGCCTCAGTCATAGGTGCCTCTGTGGCCTCTGGGGTTGTTTCTCCAGGTTTGGGAGTAGTGGGAGCGTCAGCCTCAGTCATAGGTGCCTCTGTGGCCTCTGGGGTTGTTTCTCCAGGTTTGGGAGTAGTGGGAGCGTCAGCCTCAGTCATAGGTGCCTCTGTGGCCTCTGGGGTTGTTTCTCCAGGTTTGGGAGTAGTGGGAGCGTCAGCCTCAGTCATAGGTGCCTCTGTGGCCTCTGGGGTTGTTTCTCCAGGTTTGGGAGTAGTGGGAGCGTCAGCCTCAGTCATAGGTGCCTCTGTGGCCTCTGGGGTTGTTTCTCCAGGTTTGGGAGTAGTGGGAGCGTCAGCCTCAGTCATAGGTGCCTCTGTGGCCTCTGGGGTTGTTTCTCCAGGTTTGGGAGTAGTGGGAGCGTCAGCCTCAGTCATAGGTGCCTCTGTGGCCTCTGGGGTTGTTTCTCCAGGTTTGGGAGTAGTGGGAGCGTCAGCCTCAGTCATAGGTGCCTCTGTGGCCTCTGGGGTTGTTTCTCCAGGTTTGGGAGTAGTGGGAGCGTCAGCCTCAGTCATAGGTGCCTCTGTGGCCTCTGGGGTTGTTTCTCCAGGTTTGGGAGTAGTGGGAGCGTCAGCCTCAGTCATAGGTGCCTCTGTGGCCTCTGGGGTTGTTTCTCCAGGTTTGGGAGTAGTGGGAGCGTCAGCCTCAGTCATAGGTGCCTCTGTGGCCTCTGGGGTTGTTTCTCCAGGTTTGGGAGTAGTGGGAGCGTCAGCCTCAGTCATAGGTGCCTCTGTGGCCTCTGGGGTTGTTTCTCCAGGTTTGGGAGTAGTTGGAGCGTCAGCCTCAGTCATAGGTGCCTCTGTGGCCTCTGGGGTTGTGTCTTCAGGTTTGGGGGTGGTTAGAGAGTCAGCCTAAGTCATTGGCGCCTCTGTGGCCTCAGGGGTTGTGTCTTCAGGTTTGGGGGTGGTTAGAGAGTCAGCCTAAGTCATTGGCGCCTCTGTGGCCTCAGGGGTTGTGTCTTCAGGTTTGGGGGTGGTTAGAGAGTCAGCCTAAGTCATTGGCGCCTCTGTGGCCTCAGGGGTTGTGTCTTCAGGTTTGGGGGTGGTTAGAGAGTCAGCCTAAGTCATTGGCGCCTCTGTGGCCTCAGGGGTTGTGTCTTCAGGTTTGGGGGTGGTTAGAGAGTCAGCCTAAGTCATTGGCGCCTCTGTGGCCTCAGGGGTTGTGTCTTCAGGTTTGGGGGTGGTTAGAGAGTCAGCCTAAGTCATTGGCGCCTCTGTGGCCTCAGGGGTTGTGTCTTCAGGTTTGGGGGTGGTTAGAGAGTCAGCCTAAGTCATTGGCGCCTCTGTGGCCTCAGGGGTTGTGTCTTCAGGTTTGGGGGTGGTTAGAGAGTCAGCCTAAGTCATTGGCGCCTCTGTGGCCTCAGGGGTTGTGTCTTCAGGTTTGGGGGTGGTTAGAGAGTCAGCCTAAGTCATTGGCGCCTCTGTGGCCTCAGGGGTTGTGTCTTCAGGTTTGGGGGTGGTTAGAGAGTCAGCCTAAGTCATTGGCGCCTCTGTGGCCTCAGGGGTTGTGTCTTCAGGTTTGGGGGTGGTTAGAGAGTCAGCCTAAGTCATTGGCGCCTCTGTGGCCTCAGGGGTTGTGTCTTCAGGTTTGGGGGTGGTTAGAGAGTCAGCCTAAGTCATTGGCGCCTCTGTGGCCTCAGGGGTTGTGTCTTCAGGTTTGGGGGTGGTTAGAGAGTCAGCCTAAGTCATTGGCGCCTCTGTGGCCTCAGGGGTTGTGTCTTCAGGTTTGGGGGTGGTTAGAGAGTCAGCCTTGGTTGTTGGTGCCTCTGTGGGCACAGCAGTTTTATCTTCATCTTCTGTGGGGTTGGTGGGAGAATCAGCCTCAGTCACAGGTGCCTCTGTGGCTTCAGGGGTTGACTCCTCAGGTTTTGGTGTGGTAAGAGAGTCAGCCTTGGTCGTTGGTGCCTCTGTGGCCTCTGGGGTTGTGTCTTCAGGTTTGGGGGTGGTGGGAGGGTCTGCCTTGGTCGTTGGTGCCTCTGTGGCTTCAGGGGTTGGCTCTTCTGCTTTGGGGGTGGTGGGAGTGTCGTCTTCAGTCACTGGTTCCTCTGTGACCTCAGGGGTCATATCTTCAACCTTAGCGGTGGTCGGAGGGTCTGTCTCAGTCATTGGAACCTCTGTGGCATCAGGGGTTGTGTCTTCTGGTTTGGGGGTGGTGGGCGAGTCTGCCTTGGTTGTTGGTGCCTCTGGAGTTGTGTCTTCAGGTTTGGGGGTGGTGGGAGAGTCTGCGTAAAATAGTACTTAATTAGCTTCAATGTTGTTAAAACATCTATTTAAACTGGGGTAAAAAAATATATGTGGAAACCGAAGTTAAATTGGTAAGTGCCAATTTATGGACTCATGTAACTGTCAAAACATAAATAATTTAGAAGACCCGAACTAACCTGGACTGGGTTAAATGTGAATTCCTTTTGTCTGCATGGGACTTTGCAGCAGCTCAGCTGAGTTTTAGTAATCCTTTTGGCTAACCTGTCACCACTTCGAGTGCAGCATGGCAGATTTTAATTTGTTTTTTGTAGGTGAGGCTACTTGGTGTTTCCATCCATTTTCATGGAAAGGGAACCACACTATTAAATATAGTCCTTCTAATAAGACACTTCCCTTCTCAGTCTGTTCTTTTGATTTACTCCTCTGATCTTAATTATAACATAGCCCCCACCAATGACCTGGACTTGAAGGAGAGAGGTAGGGAAATGGGAAGAAAACAAACTTTCTGAATATAGACACCTGCCTGCATCTCCTACTGTCTGTTTTTATATCTTGGATATTACTCTTTGTGATTTACTGCTTTACGACTCTCTTTACTTGTATATATAGGTACATTAACTTAAGTCAAATTGTTAATATAGCTATATTCGGCAAAAAGTAACAGTAAATGCTTCTGCATTTTAATCTCTCTCTCAGTGTCATCTCTCCGTCTCTGTGAAGTTTTGCCATTTAGTGCTGCTTTCATGTAGGTTTTGTGGTTTGATTTTTTTTTTCTATGATTCCTACTGTGTTACTGTCTACCATTACAACTGAATTGGCACTTGTTTCTCAAAAACCTGAAAAAACCAAGTGCAGCATCATGTGGTTTGGGGCCATGTTGTTCAGCTTTTGAACAAATCTACAAATATAAAAAGATTTGAGCTATTGCTTATGGTCATGGCCTGATGACTGTTAGCAGCACAAATGGAGTGTCTCTCCCAGTAGACTGGAAGAACTTATGTGAGAACTGCAGTGTGAGAAATGATCCCTGTGCAAATGTATTGTAGAAAAGGTGCAGTATGAGCAAAGTGTTACAGAATAGGTTTTCCTCCCACCCAATGTGTCTAAAATACCATAAGCCAAGTGGGATCCTGTTAATGGTTATTTAAATTTCCTTAATTTCATTTCATTTGACCTGCCGTATGGATTTTTGTAATAGGAAATTGCCACAGCAGAGAAGTAACTACTCCAAATTTAAAATAAAAAGTAAAAAATGTAAGAATTAAAATATGGCCAAAATTCACTTTTAGTCTCTTTTCATGCTTGTTACTTCAGGTTTCAAGTTCAAACTTATCTCCCAAGTTATCACTTAAAATGCTGGAACAGAATATCAAAGAACACAGGAAGGCCACATATTTTCCATTCAGAAAAAATAAATTATATGTGTTTTCTGAAGCTGCATGTGGCCTGGCTTGATTAAAGCTAGAGAAATCTACTAGGAGACTTTCCTGTCCTGGTCCTCCCAGTTCATCACTGTCCCAAAATACAACACCCTTCCTGTTCCAGCTGTGGATTTGGTCCAAAACTGACAATGGCATGTAACATATTTTTGGAAGATGTGTGTCAAAATCCAATGGAGACGCAGGAGACATCACCACACTCCAAAATCTGTGTTACGTAAACTCTCAGTATCCTGAGGTCTAGGTGAGGTAATTAGTTTATAAACCGAGTGGTTCCAAGCTTGGTAACTGTCTGGTAATGTCTCACATCGGCTTTCTATTTCCAGAGCAGGAAAATGGTCTTCAATGTTCCTTCAGGTAACACCCATCCTGTTGCATTCATATGCTTTCTTACCTTCCATAACTTCATGGGGCTGCGTTACTTCCTCTGGCTTCTTCTCCTCATTTTTGGATGACCTTTTAGATGTTGATTTGTTTGGTGGAGGAGTCTTAGGTGATGGCTTTTCTGTGTGTGCTGGAAGAAATAAAATAATCTGTTAATGGGACTGTTTTTCTTTATAGGTGCTTGGTGTCAACTGTATTAGAAGAAAGCGATTACAAAATTTCAGTGACCATCTTCCATAGAAACATAAGTTTCTTTCTCATTATAGAATTCTTTAAAGTATTATTCAGGGGAAAGAAGAAAAATATGCTTTGAATCCCAACATGTTTTATCACACATGGGAGAAATGTTTTTTCTGGACGTCTGAGGTGCAGCATTCTTTGCTAACATGAAGTTTAAGGTGGGAAAAAGATTAATTCTGAGTGGAGCTCAACATTCTGAAAATTTGTCTATTTTTCTTCAGCTTATTTTTTGGCTACAGATGTCTTGGGGCTATCCCAGTATAGCGTATCTCTGAGAGCTACCATATTAGCCAAGCATTTACTTTGATAATCCCCTGAAGATTTTGTTATATTGTAGTTCTTCAGACATGTGATAAATCTGCACATAATTGATTCTTTCAGAGAGACATCTTAAAAGCAATTGTTTCCTTGAAAGAGACAGAAGCTACAAAATAGGTATGGACCAAAGAAACAATGTAAGGTCTAAGTATAACAGCTAAGGACTGGTTAAACCCTCCCACCACTCCTGCCTACTGTGTTCTAGTAGGCCAAGTTTTAGGAGAAACTGGAGGTTTGTGTTCAGATTTTCCAACTCTGAAGATTGCATGGAATTTCACTTGCAACCAGTAAGAGCCAGAAAATATTTTTTGATTTATTGTTGGGTCAAATTGTACAATTGGAAGTGAGACCCTCTTTTCCCACTAGCATAGCCTTGTAGAAGGATATTGTTGGTTGTAAAAAAAGCATGATGGAACTCAGGGTACCTGCAGGATCTTTTTGCTCCAACTAAAGGACCTGGTAACTACCATAGGTATGTGTAATGAGCATTTCACAAAAGGAGCGGTATTTTTGTCTCATAAGGTGATGACCATAGTATCAAAGGATTAACTTTCATAGCGAGCTAGTACTCAAAGCAAATGAGGTTGAGTGGTGGACTATATACTGTAGCTTTTATTGAGAAAGACAGAGAAATTGTAATTGTTGAATAAAAACACTTTGGGAGCTGAATCAGCTTTCAGAAGAATCAGTAGTGGCGGGAGGGAAATGTTTAACCAGTCCTTAACTGTGTGTGCCTATGTATTCTGGGGATATAGGGCTTCTGGAGGATAGGAGACAAAAATGATCTCTAGATATACGTTGTAAACTTAGCTTTGCCATACAGAACAAAGTGTTCAGAAGACGCAGAAACAGCAAAATCAAAGTTCACTACATGGCATTAAGTTATTGCATTCTTCCAAAAGGCTTAACAGATTTCTCAGTTACTCACACATAGAGAAAATATCAAAATAATGAGTACAGTTGTAGGGGATTTTTTTTTTTGTTGGGTTTTGCTGTGCTTTTTTAAACAAAAAATAATAGCAAAGCTAAGTAAGTAAAACACTAGAAGAAACTCTCTAAGATTAGGAGTGGTGGGTTAACTTTTCATTAGATTTGAACTGAAGAACAAGTGAAAGAGCTGACTATCTTTTGTGAGCGTTCATGCATGTTAAGCTCCAGCAGAAAGGGAGGAGGTAAGTAAACTCAAAGGCAGCAAATTCACCTCAAGACACACAAGACATTTATTCTTTTCTAGACATCCAGTCAAAAATGCTGAATACAGAGTCTGTTTCAGTATAAATTACTATGCAATGGAGTAGCAAAACCAAGCCGCTATACCAGCACTTGGGGACTGGGAGTGGTTAGTAATGTGAACCAAATGATAATCCGCAACTCATCTTGTTTGTTAAGCTGCAGGTTTTGGAAGTTCGCTGCCTTGGAGGCTGTCTGGTCTGTGAATGCAGCAACCCAGTGCTAAGCCATATTTGCCAAGTGTGTTCACAGAAATGAATTTAGGTCCGAAAGCAACAGAAAGTTTAAGTACATGAAGATATTAAATGTATTCTGTTGGTGTTTTCTACACTAGAACTTAATAGCTGATATCATTAAAGCTGCATGAAGGTGAAACTGCTCCTCCAGATCTGTGCCTTAGTGGTTAACTAGCAAAAAAATCAGGTTCTGCAGTGAAGGACAGAATAAACAAAAGTGTCTGTGGGTCAGAGTAATCCTTCCCTGAACTGAATTTGCAGCCTAAAGGTTAAACGTGCGTTAAAATTCCTCTTGCTGCAGTGTGAACGTGTAACTACTTCTTACCAGGCAGATCCTGCAATTCCTCCCTTTTGCCCCAGAGGATGGGTTTCTGTGTTGGGCTACTCTTCCCATTTTGGATTCGAGGTGTGGAGGATCTAGGAGATCTCTCTCTATATACGCTGCCAGTGACTGCAGTAACCCAAGGCAAGTGGTCTGGAGGTTCAGGTAGTGCTATCCCAATGCAGGGTATAGGTATAATCCACTTTTGGATAGGTTGGGGAATTTAAGGGATTTGGACATTCCTTCATTACTGCTTTTTTTCCCCAAAGATGAACTAGACTTTTTACTGCAATGTGTTATTCATTCCCCCCAGCTTCTGTCCTTGAATTCTGCATGAATGGAAGTGCACATGCAAACCCTGGGCTTACACATATTATTCTGGGTGGCAGTTCTGATAGTAAATTAGAGTATGGCTAGTGCCAAAAGAGGCTAACACAAAATAAAACTTTACCCTCAGAATTCATATCTTGGTGATGGCTTCCAGTATATTTACCTTTATGCATCTGTAAAGTGTTCATGCTTGAGAAAATGGCGAATTTATTTTTGAAATTAGGTTTTGTTATTTTTTGTTTTGGTTGTTGTTCAACATAGCTAACTTCATATGTTTTAAGAAGCCTGCACACTTAACGTTTTATGATAATGCAAACCATCTATATTTAAATACATCCAGGAAAAATATAGTGATAAAGAAATTTCTTACCCTCTTTACAGTGTGCCGTGTAGTCTGGGCAACATTTGCCATATCTTTCACAGTCTGCGTCACAGTCACACTCTCTTCCTCTTTCAAAGGCTTCAAAGCAACGTCCTCTGCAGGAGACTGCTGCATAAGGCAGAAAAGACAGTCAGGATTGTTGGCTAGCTCATGTTTAACTCTGAGACCTTGCTACAGTGAAGTCATTTGCTTAAGCTGATGTAAAGAACAGCTTCATAAAATCAGGTGGTTATTCTGGTCTGATCCAGAACTTGTTTGTGTAATTGTGGGGTTTGGATCAGGCCGTGCAACCGTAACTGCACTTTGCCATTGCAGTATATTGAGACCATTTAGAAATTGTAGGGGGATAAAATAAGTGACCCGAGAGTTCACTTTAGCTAGGTCCCATCATAGATGGCTCCAATTTCCCTAATCAAATAGCAGTTATCTCAAGAATAGTATTTAAATTCTGCGTTGGGTTTTCAAAAAAGTATTCATCAGGGTACCACTTCGCATCAAAAGTGATGTGTCTACCAAAACATTTCTGAAAAATAATTTACCTAAATAGGTCGTGACCTATTGTACCTGGTGTCTCTGGACAAGTACTGCAACTTAATTGTGTGAATGAGTTAATGAAGTTTCAGAGAGTGACTATTTTTGAAATGTTAGTCCAGTCTATTTAATACAGTTCTTAAATTATTATTACTAAAGGAGTATCTACCATGTTTTGACATGATTGATAACCCCATACTTTTAGTATTTCATCATTGGTTAACTTCTGACAACTTCAGACACTACAGTACTTCTGTTTCATATCAAATAATGACCAAATTGTTTTGGAAAGTGTATGCACAGCTATTACAGACAAAGCAAAATGTGCTTGCTGTATTTTTCAAGGACAAAATTTGACCCTAAACATTTACATTACAACCTAATATTTATTGACATTCAGTAATACCTTTAATATGTTCTTAGTTAACTGTTAAATTGAAGTGATTATCTTAGACCCGAAGTGGGTATTTTTTGAGGATGCTTAGCATTTCACAGAATTGAACCAACAATTAACTATCACTTGGTATTTCCAGAATTTATCATATGATCTGTTGTTCTTGTCCTGTATCTTTTCTGTACGTACATCTCTATTGAATTCATTGTCTTTATGGCACACAGAGCATAAAATCATATTTTATAATTAAATCCTTCTCTAGCAAAATTAGGGTTACTGTATAGGCAGATTCTGAATACCTCTTGACCAGTGCGTATATGGAGTGAGTCTGTTGATGCCAGTCGATTCATCCCGCATGCATAGGTGAGGATTGTTTTTATTTTATGATGTTAGGGCAGTTTTTATTCATAAACAATGCCTGGCATTTCTCTAATTTAGTCAGCATTTATCACACACTAACTGGGCAGCAGTCGTTGGTCAGAGTGCCTTCATCCTTTAAGGATGGTGCCTACTGTGGTTGCCTGAATTCACTGATTTAGGGTAGAACAGGGGAGACTTCCTCTAGCCTTAAACATTTTATTATATGTTATGTAGATGCCAGAAAAACTTTAGAATCTGGCCCACAATAAATAGCCTACATAATTAAAATGCTGATGTCCCATCACAAGCCAAAATGAGGATAGGGAAGACTGAAGCACGAACGTTTCTGGTGTGTGTCAGAATTAGCATTTTAGGAAGCGCTGCATGTGTGTTTTGAACAATGCTCGGCCCGTGTTGCTGGATCTGAGGTCTTATCTTATATCTGTAATCTTACTAGCACTACAGTGTAGTGTAACAAACTGCAGTTATCTAAAACACTGATATTTTTGACATTGGTGATTCATAAGATTATTTTTTTTAACTCTCAGTAAAACAGTTTGAAGCACCTGTATTTATTTACTCTATACAATTTTGTGTATAAATAAAGCATATAGAAGAATATTCATCCAAGCATCTTTTCAATCAAACTGTGGATGTGGTTCTGATCCAGAGTCAATTTTTGTCTATGGAAGGACACCTTCTGACTTTGGATGAGCCCCTACAGCCTCCACACTTCTTAAATTTGAGTTGGAATGTCCCAGAATTTCTTCCTGGAAAATCCTGAATTTGCTTTTACTAATTTTTTTGTACGAGAGACAAACAGATATAGTACTAAGAAGGATATTGTACTAAGGAGAAGAAAACAAACAGTAGGTAAACTGTTTCCCCACTTTTGCGCTGCTCTGCTTTTCTGAAAAGCAAAATCCTTTTCTTGGTGATAACCGGTGGATATACAGTTTTCTCTGAATGTGTTGCAAGAGGTTATCACTGAGTTTTTGAGGGGGAGAACAAAACACATATGAGAAGAGAACAAGGACGCAGTGAACTAAAAGAGACATTTAAACATTCAGAGGAGAGATACTGGTGTGGTAGGGAGTTGGAGCAAATGGGAGGGGAAGTCTTGCCGACAGGAACTGACTGTGTTTGGGAACTTACCCACTGTGCAGACTTTCTTGAAGTCAGGGCAGCACTCCATGTAGTGTTGACAGCTAAAATCACAGTGGCAGTCATGCTCTCTAGAATACCCTTCCCCACATCTCCCTGTACAGCTTGATAAATCTAAAATCACACAACACTGGTGTAAACATTGCCAAACCAAAATGATACATAAGGAAATGCTGAATGGCAAAAAGTAGTAAGATTTATCTTTTTTTTTTTTTTTTTTTTTAAATGGAATGCTATTTCTTCACTCGGTATTGCAGAAACTGTGGGCCTGGTACAACTCCTCCTGAAGGCACGCGCATCACAGGTTTACTCTGAGCCAGCCTGAGGACCGGCAGCAGTGTGCACAGGTTGGAGGATAACTTATCCTGTTTCTCCTGAAGATTAATGAATGCCTGAGGACGGGTTTAGTAATACGGCCACAACAGTTCTGGCATCAAAACTAGCCCATGCAGATTTACCTTAAGCAGTATATCAGCCAGGCAGCATATTGTTTTGCAGACTTATTCTCCCTACGTATGGTTGTAGATGCCCGCACTGCCATACCTAACAGACTTATTTTACTTTTTGTAATATTCTACATAATAACCAAATAAAACCAGTTTAGCTTGCAAACCGGTGAGCACTGTCATAATAAATAGAGGTCCCCGGAGCCATTTTTATTTGCAGTTTTAAAAATCTCCCTGCCCTCTACATTAATTTTTTCCCTGAGGTCAGAGAGAAATTTGGTATCAACTCTGAGGTTAGGAAGAGCTGGGATCTAGTCCTGCAGTCTTCTATAATTTACTTTCTGTTTGTTAATTAGGAGATTACTTATTAGCAGAGTAACATAAAAGCTCATTCCATGATGGCTTTACTGATAGACTGCTGTATAAAATGCTAGATAATAATAAATGGTGCAGGTTACAGGTGGTCAGCAAGACGTCAGGAGGTCTGCTTTCAAACTGTACACATTCAAGCTTGGCAGCGGTTTGTTACCCTCTACTGCCAGATTAGATATTCACCCTGGAACAACTTCCCTTCCTACGTGAAATCTCTTATAACACGCTAACAGCTTCTTCTGGAAATGAAACATGCAGGACCACAAGTGAAGCGTCCCTAAATACAAACAAAGAAGCTGAACAATCAGCAAGCTAAAACAGAGTTAAGATAATCAGCTGAAACACTGAGGAACAACAAGAAAATAACAAGAAATAACATAAAACACAAGACAACAACAAAGACAATTTCTAACAGCACACAATCTACGTGTGTGTATATGAAGGAAGACTAGAATAACAAACGATTATGTGTACTGTGATTTTTCAGCACTTTAGGTATAATGTTCATTACCACTTCTTTACAGATAAAGAATGGGCACTAGGGAATAAATGGAGAATTTAATGGGCTCTTAATAGGGGAGTTGAAAAGAGAAGCTAGGCATCTTCCTTTATGGGTATGTGGCCAATATATTGCACCCTTCTTCCCTTATGGGGAGAAAATATAGGCAAGTCCAAAAAAGTACCACCTTTTCATTCATTTATTTGTTTTCAGTTTATCACTTGTAAGTTATGAAGTTACTTCTAAGCAAAATGCCTAAAAGGTTCTAGTTGCTGTTGGCAAGAGTCTTGATTGTTGCTGAAAATAACGGAAAGGCTCCCATCAACTACAGAGGGTGCAGTATCAGACTGCTCTGCCCTGCAGGTCAAATCTGACATCTGCTGTGCCCTGACAAACTGCTCAGATATACAAATGTTATGTCTTCTACTATCAAGTAGTAATAATTTTTTACCAGCAAGTAACACATAATGTTATCACTATAGCAACTTGATAGCTACTTGAAAACTGTGACAACACAGGACTTGCCGGGCTGCAAGTCCTTCTGTTTCTTCATCATTGTGCTACTTTAGTTAGAAATAATTTACAGAGCTTTGAGAGTAAATAAAAATCTGTAGTAATAACAGTGTAATAACAGTGTAATAACAGTGCATTTAATGGCAAAGCACTTAGCATGTTATAGATATTCCTTTCGCTCAGCCTATTGTATTTAAATATTTCTAACGAAATTATGTGGCTATTGTAATTTAGATTCTTCCTTGAATCATACTTCAAATCACTTGGGCAAAATATATTAGTCAGAGGGCAACAGGATCTGTAGATATGTCTACAGAAAAAGAAGTAGGTTCATACGCATTTTGCATGATATTCATTCCTCAAAAAGAAGATCATAAGAAGATCATGCTGTACCAAAATATGTTTATGAAAATATTCAATGATGATAAAACAGAATCATAATGCCTGTCTGAATAAATATAAAGTTCTAGAACTTAGTATTTTTATGATGATGTATTTGAAACATTCTTAATATTTGTCAGATATTCTAGACACCCTCCCTTCCACTTTGTATGTTACAGTACCTTCAGAAGACACTTCTTGAATCAAGGACAGTGAAAGGATCACCACGGATACGCAAAGTATGTTCCATATGATCATTACTTTCAGGTACGACATCATCCCTAAAAAGGAATAATCTCACATCACTACATGCAACTCAACTTATTAGTTCAGAATTTTTAAAAAATTGCAGTGCATATCTTCATACATAATAGTAGTTTAATAACAATATAAAATTAACGCTAAAATTATTCAAGGACAAATTGCTAATTAGGAATTACGGCATAAATTCTCTCTTGGTTATTAGTCAATTAGCTGTTAAATTTTGTAATAGGACTAGAAAAATTCATTATTTGCAAATAACAAGTAATTTTTTGCAGAATTCTGTTACTGAAAACTGCAGTCGGTCTTTTAACATGGGTGCACTTCAGCACAACAGTTTCTAAGGTTATAATATTGATGAATATAAACATAAAGTAAAAGAAATACTGTCAAAATATTAGTAGTTTAGCAACATAATTTTATAAACCATAATCTATCATTGAAATGTTAGAATTTAAATATGTCAAATGGAAATGTAGGATAAAAGTATACCTTCTTTCAAAAGGAAAACTTGTCTGCTTTTTCTATTCTAGTTCATCATTTTCCTTTTGAAGAAGAGCACTTTGATCAAAACCGTCAGAGTAGAGATAGGTATTACACTTACCTAACAAAGAATATGTCTGCTCTCAGTGATGTTTCAGATGCCTTATATATTGCTTTGTAACTGTGCTGGGGTTAACTAATTAGCTTGTTGAACAAAACCGCCAATGACAGCTTATGACAGCAAACTTTCCACATGAGTTGGAAGAGGTCCCAGATGACTAGACTAACACAACATCTGGAAAATACTCCCATTAAGAAAAATGATTACAGAAAAAACTAAATAGGGACTTACTAGTCAAAACACATTTTGATTACTGAGTGAAATGAACAAATTGTCCTGAATACATCTGGAAGTCATTAGATATCATTGCATAGCAATAAAAAATCATTATAGGCAAATGGTGAGTGTATTTTCTTTCCTGTCAAATGTAGCTTAGGTGACAAAAGCCTAAAATTATGCAGTAGTATCTGCTACTGATGGTGTATCTTCTCCAAAAAGTTTACAGATCTAATTCATGCAGTCATAAGTAATTTGCCAGTTCTGCACTGAATATATAGTACTTTTCCCTGAATGGAATGGAAATTTTGCCAAGGTATTGACTAGAAATCAAAGAATTTGGTCTAATCTCAAATGTATTAAATATAGTATATATAAAGCATCAAAAATGAATGAATGAGACTTAAATTGTTTCAATGGTCTGGTTCTAGATTCAGGGTGCTGGAAATGGGTGTCTGCAACTCCGTCTCAGAGCTAAAGGAGGTTCCCATTGAATCTTTTAATGGTCCTGACTCTCAGAGTTTGGGGATGATTTTTTTATACAGAAACTGTCCTAGAGGCCAGGGAACTTTGATACTTCTGTCTTGTGATATTACTTGTATCCCAACGTAGTTCTGTTATACCAAAATAATAAATATGGTATAATACGCATTGATCCCTATTGAGGAAAGTGCTTAAGCATAAGCTTGAGTATCTTAAGGAAAGTAACGTAGGTGCCTCTGAAACGGAGTGGGTTTAGACACATGCTTGAATGTTTTCCTCACTTGGTCCAATGATTGTGCACCTTTAGTATTTTTATGCTAGATTTTCATTCTAATTTATGTCTTATCGCAGTAGACGCAGTTTCATTCAATATTTCTGCACTGTGGACACTTCTAATTGCTTTCATATCACAGCCACACTTCAGTTAATTGATTCCAGTCAATAAAAGAGTGCTCTTTCATTGCTGTACGAACACGCATAATCTTTGTAAAAGTTTGTGGAGTTGTTTAAAGTGTTAAGTGGGAGCACTTACACAGTGTTGATTTGCTATTTAAGGTTCTCTACCCACTGCCAACCTACTTGTGATGTAGCTATTACTCTACTCTCTGGAAAAGGGAACCTGAAGCTCTGAGATTTTGTGGAGTTTATTCAAGGTAATACTGTCAGAGATTGAAAGGACACGGACTTCTGAGAATGGTGAATCAGAAGAGTCTTTATTGCTTATCTTGCTGGATTATATTGATGCTTTAGCGTCCACGCGACAGACACGCATAGCTTTTACATTCATGATTGGTTATAATCAAATTTCACACAGATACTTGGTTTATCATGATTGGTTAACAAGATCCTATTTTTAATTTCAGGACCCGTCTCTCTTGCAGCTTAGTTCCTCATAAGCGCTGAAGCAATCCTTCTAGTTCCTCTTTTCTGCCCTTCAAGGTCACTCCAATGACAAGGCTTACAGCTCTTCTATTAGGTCAAACCCCACATAATACACATAGGAAATATATATTACATGCCTTATAACAAGAACTTCAATACTGTCTTTAGTAGAGCTGACTATAAGCTTGATAAATAAACTCTGTGGTTTGAGAAGAAAGGTACCTGTTGATGGATATTTAAAACCTACAGAAGTAGTTTTTAGAGTAGCTAAATAGGATCAACATGATGAGATTGGTTTTCTAGAAAAGTACTAAAATCCTCATAACTTAAATAATTTATGATTTGATCAAGAAAAACATTTAAGACTACATTATTGAGTATATCCTTACTTTGATAGCCATGGTATGGAGGAGGTTTGTTGACTCTTCCACCATTTCACAGACAATACAGCTGTGATTCCCAGTTAAGACTAGCTAGCTATCTGAGGTAAAAAAATATATACATTAAGTAGTAAATAAAAAGTAACAGAAGCTTGAAATTATTATCGTGCTTCTGTTAACATGCCAGTATTCAATTAAGTCATATGAAGACAATCAGTTACACAACTTGAAAATATGGGTGTCATGATTGGCTGCTACATTTATTATGTGTTACGGATATGTTCATTTTGGTAGGGTTGTATTGGTTTATTTCTCTTACGAATTAAGTTATTGGATTGGTGGAATTCCAAAGTTTGAGCGATGAGATGAGTTCCCAAACTGCAGTTACTAGATTTCAATTGCAGTTATCTCCATTTGGAGTGTGTGTTTGTAATAGTTGAATGACTTTCAGGTGGTCATTAAAGTTTCTCTAGTATTAGTTATACAGGCTCCGAATAGAAACTGATACCACACAGTGTTTCTTTCCCCTTCAGGTCAATGTAAGTTTTAGGTAGCAGCATCTGACAACATGTGCTGGATTTTTACCAACCTGTATGGGTTCCATTTACTTTTGTGATATGTGAAAACTGAGGTTGTCATAAATATGCTGTGCCCTGTGCGGAAAAAAATACATTTGAAAATCTCTGAATGGCTCTTCTTTATAGTACTTTTTTATATATAACTAAATATTAATATAGAAGAACATACTTTTTGAAGACGGGTTGAAGATGAAATAGGGAGGCTTTTTTGGAGATAAAGGTACTTAGGTAGGAAATGAGTTCAGACTGATTTCCAGTTCTGTGACAGGCTTGGTGTCATAGTTTTAGTCAAGTCATTTATGCTGAAGGGTAAAACAGGATTTTCAGAAGTGCCAGTTAAATACTTTCATAAAAATCTCTTTTTTCATAACATACCTATTATTAAGACAATCCTGCAGGTAGGTCTAACCTCCATGTATGCTGCATGGGATAATTCCATAAGTGGATTAACAGGACATGAAAAGACACCTTTAAATTGTAGTGTCACAGCTGCATTTAAGTGGTATTTATGATGACACTTCACAGCGTGTGATCAGGCAACAGTAGAGTGGGATTTCTATCATGACCACCTTCTGCTGGTCTTCCCTTTATTGTCAGGGAGGGACTTCAAAATCTGGCTTTAAATTATTGTCATGGTTTCTTGGAGGCAGTAAGAGGTATGCTCAAATATGAACACGGTCAGGGCACTCATGATGGACAGAGTTTACTTGCTGATGTTTTGCAAATGTTTGTGTGCCAGTAAAAAGGGACATAAGAGTAACAGTGAAACAGTAAGCAGGGAGCTGGGTGGATAGGGGAGGGTGAGATGGGGACACATCTCTACCATTTTTGGGTTGAGCTCCATCTGAAATGGACTTGGAGCTGTAAAAAAAGGAATAGTACAAAGTGTTCCATTTGCTTATTTTTATTTCTGCTGCACTTAGGGAAACAGGACTCATTATATTCCTGATGAGTAAATAAAGATACATGACTTCACCACCATTTTTCTTCATCTTGGAGCAACATATGGGACCTAATATTGTGGTTAGCCAATCCAATTGGAAAGAGATAACTTTATTTTTTGTCTGATACTTGATTGCTTCAGTTAAGTATCAACTGACCAGTCATTTAATTTGGCAAGGGTTTCAGGCAACATAAACCACTCATTAAATCTTGTCAGGTGTATCCAAAATCTTATCTGTATTTCCTAACTTTATTAGTTGATTGCATTAAAAAAAAAATAAGAAAAAAGAAGAAGCCTTTCTCTACAAACCCTGCTTTGTTTTTTTTATTGACATCATTGTAGTTACAGTACTATTATTTGTATCTTTTATTTCTGAATTAATGAATTCCTTACATTGATGCTCATGACTCAGCTGTATTCTTATGCCTTTTCAGGCCTTGGCTTTTTTGGATGCTCATCAGTCATATTTATGATAGTGGTTTTGGGATGTGTTCATATCCACTGGGGATCACATGGAAAATGTAATCCTGGAAAATGGTCATTGTGTTCATCTGGGTCTGGTCTGACAGATGCCTCATTGCTTTTCAGTCCCATCATTGATCCCCATTCAGTCCCATCATTGATACCCATCAGTATCCTAAAAATAGAATGTAATTTTCGTATAAAACTCAGTTGCATTTTGAGTGATCTGAATCCCTGTGAGAACTCAGTTGACTATAAGAGCAGCTGGGGTGTCCCAGCAGAAGTTACATAGAGAAACTGAGCTTAGCAAGAGTGAAGGAAGTCAAAAGAAAACAAAAGAGCATGTATTTAGAGTGGTGTTGGTCTGATAAATATTCACTGATTAGCATATCTGTTTAACCTAGAAGGAATCATAGAAGGAATTTAATTGAAAGTTAAGTGAGATTGCCGGAAGTCTCATTAAATGAGTT